CACCCAAAGGAAAAATGAGAAACAAAACAAAACACTATCTCCATTTAAGAAACCATTTTGGTCTCCTCTAATTTTTATTTTCTTGACTGAGTCAGAAATGGTAGCTTCAGCTTGGTCCTTGGTTTTCCAATCTCACATCTGTGAAAGAATGGATTTGTTCTAGGCCCAAATCACAGCTTATGCTATCCTTCAAGTAGGGCCAACCAAATCTTTGTGTTAGACAAGCTATTCTGCAGTCTTTGGGGATAGTTCCCAACTCTCTTTAAGCCATAACTCAAGTCCCACTGTGAGAAGTCTTCTTGTGGGACTTGAGTTATGGCTCCATCATTCTTGTCCCCTTAGTGATGATGTCTCCATGTGGGGAGAGAGCAGGAGCCCACAGGGAGAAGAGCAATAGAAATTACCAAGTGGTCATCAGCATGACTGCAACCCTGAAAGGTAGGATTCCAGAAAAGTAGGAGAGAAGAGAAGGAGGTGAACACCAGCAACTTGAGACGACAGAGCCATCTGGGAACTCGAGAACATGAGGAGCAACTGAGGAAGGGCAGGTATGGAAAGGGAGGGTGAAGCCGGGAAGAAGAAATAGGAGCAGGGAGAGGCAGCAGCCAGGCAGGAAAATGAGACGCTGTAAGGAAAGAAATAAGGCAGAAAGCATGCTAGGTGAAAGAACTGTTTCTAGAACAGAAGTTACACCACGTTCTGCCTCTGACTCTTCTGGCCATATTTTCTGTCTCAATTCTTTTTGTTTTTAAAGGGGGCCTTCTATAGTAGGGCTTTAGAATGAGATACAGCAAGGAACAGATTGGAAAAATCTTCCTGTGGCTTCAGGTGGCTATTTATGAAAGGTGAGCCTAACTAATCTGCCCATTTAGTTCTGATCCCAGTGGAAAATGAGGTTGGCTACAAGACACTCCTGCAGCCTTATTTACTCAGCAGGTCTATGCATTGAATTATTTGCATAACAGTCACCAGTGATTGAGCTGCTGCCTTCTACAAGAATTTAGGGTTAAAAACAGAAGTAAGCCATATTCTTTATCTGCAAGTTGTTCACAGACCATGGAAAAGACAGACACCTAAAAATAACACTGTGTCAGGAAGTGTTATGATAAAGGTACCAGCAAGGGATATGGAGGGGCAGGAGAGGGGTCTTCCAGCCAGTTCCTGATTGATCCTCAATATTTAACTTTATTTTACTTGGAAAGTCCTCTTCCTAACCCTGAACACCCTCCAAGCCACATCTTTTGAAATCCTGGACATTCTTCAAATCTGGGTCAAATGCTATTTTCTCAACAAAGTAGTTCGTCATCTTAAAAGCTGTAATTAATCTTTCTCTTCTGTGTTCTTATATAACACATTATTTATATCTGTTCTGACATTTACCCCAATTTGTTTCTTTCTTTAAAACTATGTTTGGTGGGGGGGGGATGGATAGATGGATGGATAGACAGATTTACTGATTTCATTACATTGTAAGGTTTTTTTGACTATAGGGTTTGGTTCATCTTTTGGTCTCCCACAGGCCTGAGCATAGAAGTTTCATAAAATATACTCAGATGGAAGTTCATTTCAGTCAATGAACCTACACATCCCCTTTTAGGATGCTGAATGGACTGGATCCTGCTTCATTTTGGGAAGTTGTGAATCCTTGTTTTTGTTTTAAGGAGGCATAAAAGAAATGGCCTTCAGACCTAAAAAAGACCAAACCATTCTTTCCGTCTCTTTCTAAATTTGGACAAGAAATAGGTAACAAAACAAAACCCTCAAATTAATCAAGTGATTTTTAATCTGGAAAGGACTCTGTCTTTCATTTGATACCATATCTTAACTATGAATGAAGAAACTAAGTCCTGAGAAATTCAGATACTTCTTCAATATCACACAACCAGAATCAACAAGATTTCCCAACAGATAAAATAGTTTACCTTTAATAACAGAGAAAGAGCATGCTTAAAAGGAAAAGAAAAAGAAATAGCACTAAAATATACAAAGAAAAATAATTCATTGAAAGGCAGTACACATTATAGAAAAATATTTCCCCTCTCAGTCTACCTATCCACAGAAAATATCATGTTTTCAATAATATCAATAAATACATTATGAATACACTTGTAGAGTTTAGAGTTTTAATTTTAAAACCCAACTTTTGCAATTTCCAGATCCTTCAACCATTTGGACATCAAATGTTTCTATGAATTTGGCAATAAGAAGTCTTCCGAGGTTCTTCTCTAAGATATTTCAATATGTTTGGGTGGCACTGGTGATTAACAGGTGTTCTTAACAGTTGCAGAAGTAAAATAGTACATGAGGCTCAGTTGAGAGGTGCACATTCACACATGTTCTCTCCCATCATGACTTAGGAAAACACAGCAGGTGCACTCAGATCTGACACAGTTCACTCCATTCCAGTTCTGCTATTATTGCCAGAACCCCTGCCTTATCCCTGACCTTTTCTATGTCACTGCTACCCTCTCCCTCTCCTGACAGAGCTGACCCAGTCTTACAGATGCCCTGGAGCACGTGCGCGCACACACACACACACACACACACACACACAAAAGTCAAAGCACTAAATTTTAATTTGAAATTGACTAGGTTTCAGTTCTAAATAAAGATCTATCTATCTTTCATCAGATATATAAAATGAATACATCTATCTAGTTAGCTCTATCAATCTGCCTAATCTTCACAGTGATGCATAATCACTCAGATAAAGACCACCTGGTTTTAAAAAGTCTTTTACTCCCTGCAGAGTGTGGTCTGTGAACACTGGTTTTCAGTTAGAGACTAGCTACATTACTCTGCACTTCTTGAAGCCCCCTCAAGGGCAAAGGGACAGTGTATTGGTTTTGCAGCTACATACAGGCTTAAATACTAGCTCTGCCACTTAGCAGTTGTGTGATCTTGAGAAAATTACTTAAAATTTCTGGACAATCATTTCCAAACTGATGATGTTAATACCTACTTCATGGAGGTATAAGGAATTTAGGTTATGTCTGTCTAAAGTTGCTGCACGGCAGAGTTCAGTAAGGAATAGTTATTGTGAAGAAGGTGACAACAGGGGGAAGAGCAAGAGAGGAAGAAGAAAGATGATGACCTCACTTTCCGAAAGTCTTCCATATTTCAGAATTTCTCAGCAAGGCTTGGCAGAACTTGAGTGCCACCATCTATCTGAGCTTACATATACATACACTTATGTTCCATCCATTCTTGGGTGAAAAAGACATTTCACAGTAGTGGATTCATCATGTTTTTCAAAAACAGATCCTCCTGCCCACCCCCTTTTGTTTGTTGCTTAGCAGGACTGGACTTCACAAAACAGGGTGAAAAAATTCCTGAGCCCCATATAGCAGCTAATCATAGAATTTCCAGGTACCGCAACAGACCCCAGCTGTTTGCTTCCCCAGCAATTCTAGTAACTGCAAGATATCCTATAGATCACAGAAAAAAGACGCCCAACTCCTTTCTGGAGTTCTGGAGTCAGAATTCACAGCTAATCCACTAGCAGAGCTGCTGCTACAGTTTAAGCTATCCAAAGTACAACAAGAAAAGAGGAAGCTTCTACCTAACCCGGACATGCCTGGAATGACAGGGCCATTTATGACCTGCCTCAGATGCCATTCTGCTTGCAAACACACACTACCCTCCATATCATTCGACAAAATAATTGCACTGGAAAGCCTGAAGGCAAATGACTAATGTTAAAAGTGGCCCATGCATCATTTCAGTGATGACTCCACAGGCGTCAATTAAACATGGAAAAGACGTGTTCTGAGGCATGACCGTCTGACATTTTCTAACGAGCTGTGTGTAGTCAAATGTTAGTAAATCAGAGGTGATCCTAAGTATAAAGAAAGACAGCAGCCCTCTCCTTGCTCAAAAGCAGGAAGGACCCAGGAAGACATCGAACCTGGAAGACCTCCAGAAAATGAGGTGTGCAAAGAGCCTGGATGTGAAGTTAGCACTGTTCTTCCTCATGCATAGAAAGCACAAATTGGGGTTGCATGAGGTCATGTTTTCAGCCACCAAAAAGGCAGACTGCTCCAGAGAATGCTTGATAGTCTGCCTGGTAGTCTAGAGGTGAACTTTAATTGTTATGACTCCAAGTGGGAGAAAAAAAATGGCAGTAGTCCATCCTTTGCTCCTTGAATGTTTTCTAAGTTATCAGCACTGTTGGACTTTGCTCAGCACACTAGGCCAAGTTCACTGTGGTCTAAACATCTGTCCCTAGAAACCATGTTTAATATCCTCTTTAGTGGAAGGAAAAGAACACATTTAACAAGTCTAATGAGACTGATGTCAAGGTATAAAACCCCCAGCAGAGACACAGTGGCTGGAGCAGAAGTGCTTTTCAAGACTGCAGTTCTTGATCAGTCAGGCAGACACCTGTGTATATATAGGCAAAGCTTCAAACACCACCACCTCATCACACCTAATGACTGCCTGTGATGATAGCTTGCAGTCCCTATTTCTGGCCTTTCCCAAAACAACAAGAACACAAATATGTGTCTTTATACTCAGCCCTGATTCTAAAACTATTCTGTAATGTTTATCTGTTTTTTTTTTTTTGTTGTTGTTGTTGTTATTTGCTTCTCTAATATGAGAAAGGAAATATTTTTCAGTTTTAATTTTGATCCAGATCTAAAATTGTTGATGACTTTTTAATCGTTACCCTTGATTTCTCCTTTTTTCTTTTAGTGATTCAAGTAAGTGCACCCCACACATCCCCTGGCCCCAACATTAAGGTTAATATTCATAGAATGAGGCTATCAAAAACAAAACCAACAAAAACAACAGTGCCTCCTTTCTCATGAGTCCTCTTTGCCAATGATGCAGTGTTCTTAAATCTCTTTACAGCAGCTGCTTCAGTGTTAAGTTTTGGGTTTGGAATAAAAGGGGTCACTGACAATTATTTTCTCAGCACAATGGAAAAGCAACCCAACCCATTAACACTAAAATGGCAGAATTCAACACAGTGTGAACAAGTAGGAATAGAAGAATACCTGGGATTGCCAGATTGGAAAGGGGGACGTTGTGGAGGTGAGGGGGGAGCGAGGCCATCCAGTCAGCATTGCAGACGTCTGAAGCTGTCTTTGTCCCGCTGGGGTTGGGGGAACAGATGGTCCCCATCCTGAGTTTCCTCCTTGCCTTTCTAACTGCTAGCATCCCTTTGGATCACAAATTGGCCAGGTTCAGCCCAGTGACACTTACTCACTGTTCCAGCTCTCTAGACATTTCAGGGCCACTTTTGTCACGCCAGTCTTTCCAAAATGCCTTTCTGGCTGGGAGAGGGTCAAAGAACCGGTTCTCTACCCCCAGCGCCCACAGTCCCCACCCTTTCGGCCCTTTCTCTCTTCCACTCCCTTAATCTTCTCAGTCCCAGCTCCGTTAAACTTCTTACGTTCCCCTCTGGAGAGAGGGGCGGTAGGGCCCTAGAAATAAATCTTATAGAAAAGGAAGGTCCCTGGAGCAGCCACGCCCGGAGCTACTCACACGACAGGTGCCCACACAGCATGGTGACATGCCGAGGGGTCTGCACACATGTGCATCCCCGGGCGCTCCATCTCTAGCCGGAGTTATGCTTCTGTATATGTCACTGGGCTGTGCATAAACGGGGCCTGCCTGCTACTCGCTCCCGGGTCCTCAGCGCGGACGCCGCCCGCCCTGTGGCTTCCTGAAAGGCACTCACAAGAGTAACCGGCGGCACCCCGACTCCCGGCAGCCCCGCCCGCACTGCCGGGCAGATTTGCCAAGCTACGCGGCCCGTGATTGGCCGCTGGCGCAGCGCGCTCCGATTGGTCGGCGCCCTCTGGGCTGCCCCTCCCTCCGGCTTCCACACCTCCCTTGCTCCCAGGTCTCCGCCCTCCGCTACTCCTGCTTTTCTGAGGGTAGACCGCTGCCTCCGCAGCTACTGCGGACTTGGAGATTTGCAGGCTTTGGGCAGTGGGTCCTCAAGTCTTCTTCAGCCTTTCACACCGCCAGCACTCAGGTGTTCAGCGAGACCACAAATGTTTCTCTACATCCTATCCCCCACCCCCCGCACACATTCGAGTTGGTGACAGAGTATTACATTTCTGTAAATCACAGTAGCAGCAGAAATAGGAGAGGCTCAGAGGCCCAAGAAGCCGAGAAAGATGCTGTATCTCATATTTAGATGAAAATATCAAGGATGGTTTGTGTTTCAAGCATTACATTATAAGATTCTCCTACACAATACTTAGCAGCTGATCTGCACTAGGATTCCCACTTTACGGATGAGGAAATAAGTGATATTTCACTTTTGTATTGCTCGGTTGTTTGAACCTTCTTTTAAATTATTTGTCCCATTTTCTCCTCACAGTACCCCAAGGCAAGGAGGATTGCTGGTATGCTTCCCTTAACAGATTAAATAGTCCCCAGGAGCAGGTCATGCACTAGAACTATTTGCAAATTTCATTTTGGAATGGGGCCCTGTAGCCGGGAGGTCTGTAGACATACAAATGCGTTCCCTTGCTTTCTGCAGTGTCCCTATTACTTCAAGCTTCTTTATGATGGGGTCTTTAGAGTCTCTACCGCTATGAGAACTTTGCATACCGAAAGTCACAGAGACATTTTGGCAAACAAGCAAATTAAGAAAAGCATCCTGGTCTTGATAGTAGGGCTTTGGAGAGCCTTGGTCAGGCAGACTCTCAGTGACTCAGGAGAACCTTGAGGGAAGAGAAAACAAAGGCCTGAAATCACCCAAAGGGAAGACTGCAGGCTCTTGTACAGATCTTTAGATATATTATATCTGACACTCTCTCTCTCTCTCTCTCTCTCTCTCTCTCTCTCTCTATATATATATATATATATATATATATATATATAATTTCTGATAAATTATATGTAAATATGTATTTTTATATAGATACAAAATTCCCAAACACAAAATATATGGAAGCCGCATAAGGCAAACAAATGTGTTATTTAACCTCAACTGTGAAATGCTCATCTTAAAGCCTTTTTTCCCTTGCATTTTTCAGCTGTTAATGGAAGGAGGGAGCATATAAGATAGCATCAAACTTTGGAGACTTAAAAGGCATTACTGAGTGAAAACTAGAAACGAAGAGAAGTGGAACTCCCTCAGAATGAGCTGGTTTGCACCTCTCTGAAATTAGGAGCTAACCTATTTGACTTGACCAAGAATGACCAAGAAACAGTTCAAAAGGAGGCCAACACTCTTCCTGAGTCAGTCCTGCAAAGAATCTTGAAGATGAAAAGAGCATCTAGTATAATAGTTGGCATATAGAGGTGCTCAAAAAATATTTATTGTAAGAAGAGAGGTGCTCTTGAGATATGCTCTGCTGGGCTTTAGGTATTACCTAAAAGCAGAGTTTTTCAAAATTAAAGGTCCAAATTAATCACATTTTTCTTAAATAGGCATGAAATGCCCTGGATAGTCTGCATTTCTAACAAGATTCCAGCTGATGCTGATGCGGCTGGATCAGACTATACTTTGAGAATGAGCTCAATTTGGTAGATGAGGGTATGCACAGCTTCTTCTCCCTTTTCCAAGGTTTCAAAAAATAAATGTACATTAAAAATTGAGACTAATGAGCAGAGGCTGGGGCTCAGCAGTAGGCACTTACCTGGCATGTGTGAGGCACTGGGTTCAATTCTCAGCACTGCATGCAAATAAATAAGTAAATAAATGTCTACCAACAACAAAAAATATATATTAAAAAATCCAGACTAACAATCTCTAAGAGAATAATTTCTCTGTCACATTATATAATGAAAATTAACATATTAATGGGATTTTACTATTGTACCACAGATGTTCAAGAAAATATTTTAAAATAAAATTAATATTTAGAATTTGAATAGTTAATATTTTTGTATACTATACCATAAACATTGCCAATGAGAGAAGAAATATATTAATAAGAGGAGTGAAATTTTAAAGCAATTTGATGTTAATGAATAATTGCAACAAAATGGAGTGTTTGGCATGTACATATTATGCTGGTTGGTGCTAAGAATGGAAGGAAAGTTAAATTATCCTCAGATTTATAAGCCAATAGAAATGGGAGTCAAATATGTGAATTTCCAATTGCAATGTACAGCAAAATAAATAGAGAACAAGACATATGAAGATAATGTAGAGGTGTACATTTTGATGGGGGAAGAGCTAGAGGAGAAGGCATTTAAGCTAGGTCTTGAATTCTGAGAAAAGCTTCTGTTCATGGAAAAATAGGTGGTGCACTATGCTGTGGGAAAGGGAGATGCAGCTGAGAAAACCAAGGCAAAGCTAGGACAATCAGCAGCAGATGCAAGAAACAGAGAGCATGCTAGAGCGGCACATGGGATAACACTTCTACTCTCATTTCCCCTTCACAAGAGCCCTGGGAGTTAAGCACTGTTGCTATTCCAGGGCTTACAGGCCACATAACCCTGCCCAAGATCTCACAGCTAGTTGGTGGGAGAGCCATGACTCCAAGTGTCTCCCCTGCTGTACCAAGGACTTGTAAGTGTATGTTACCTGTTATTACTATAAACCACACAGAGGGTGTTTATGACCAAATTGATTAAAGAGTTTGGCCTTTTTCCTTTTCTATGACAAAAGGGACTATTGTAAAGGGGAGTAAAAGGATTCATATTTTACTTTGGTGGGATTGTCCTATAGAATGGGAAATGGTCAAGGAGACAAGAGTCTTTCAGGTAAATCATTGAAATCAATTATCTGTGAAAGAAATGTGAAAAAGCATGTGAAGGGCCTGGCACCAGCTGAGTGGTCTTCCTTCACTCTGGTACTTCCCTCTCGCATCACTTTCAAGGGCCCACAATTCTAGGACCTGAGTGCAGCCTGAAATGAAGTTTCATCATTTGAAACCCTCATCAAACTGTTCATCCACTTTTTAAAATTAATTTTTAAAATGTTTAATTTGTTATATATGTCAACAGAATGCATTACAATTCATATTATACATATAGAGCACAATTTTTCATATCTCTGGTTGTACACAAAATAGAGTCACATCCTTCATGTCTTCTTACATGTATTTAGGGTAATGATGGCCATCGCATTCCACTGTCTTTCCTAACCCTATGGCCCCTCTCTTCCTCTCCCTCCCTTTTTTCCCCTTTGCCCTATCTATAGTTCATTTAATCCCCCCCTCCCAGCATATTATGAATCGGCATCCTTAAATCAGAGAAATCGTTTGGCATTTGGTTTTGGGGGATTGGCTCATTTCACTTAGCATTATATTCTCCAGCTCCCTCTATTTACTTGATGCCATGATTTTATTCTCTTTTAATGCTAAGTAATATTCCATTATGTATATATACCACATTTTCTTTATCCATTCATCTACTGAAGAGCATCTAGGTTGGTTCCACAGTTTAGCTATTGTGAATTGTGCTGCTATAAACATCAATGTGGCTGTGTCCCTGTAGTATGCTGTTTTTAAGTCTTTTAGGTATAGATCGAGGAGAGGGATAGCTGGGTCAAATGGTGGTTCTATTCCCAGTTTTCCAAAGATTCTCCATACTGCTTTCCATATTGACTGCACCAATTTGCAGTCCCACCAGTAATGTATGAGTTACCTTTTCTCCCACATCCTTGCCAACACTTTTCGTTGTTTGTATACTTAATAGCTGCCATTCTGACTGGAGTGAGATGAAATCTTAGAGTAGTTTTTATTTGCATTTCTCTAATTGCTAGAGAAGGTGAACATTTTTTCATATATTTGTCACTCATCCACTTGTATTATATACAATCAAATTCATTTCTATAAATGCGTTCAAATATTTTGTTTTCTGATTTGTTACCTCTATTGGTTGATGAACCTTACTGGATTCCCAAAGAGTTGATTGGAGCATTTACCAACTCCTTAGGGGCTACATTATTCATTGAGGAGTCTATGTTTTAAAACTGGCTTGTTTTGTTTGAATTCATGCCATAAATGAATAATGAGGGTCCTAAAGCAAGTACCCAAACAGCTTACCATTCAGGCAAGTCTGGTTGGCAGGATAAGCTGGCCTGGATTTTACTTGATTGAAGATCCCAAAGGTCCTCAAAGGAAGTATATTAAGTTAGTGATGCTGAGGTTGGGGCTGTCTTTGACCCTAGAGCTGAGACCCTATATAAGTCTTATCTCCTGATTGTGTTCTAGATGGGCAGGAACAGACCCCAAACAGAATCAGGACCCAGACACATTCGGTCCAGGGACATTGGCTGGAACTAAGTGAGGCTTTATGAGTGAGGCTTTCAATTCCACAGTGATGTCTCATCCATACTATTTTATTCCTGGTTGTGGGGTGGGGTGAGGATAAGGGATTGAAATGAGGTGCCAGGTTATGAAAGATGAGATGGAATTTTAACTGATTTGTTTTGTGGCTTCATCTCATCAGAGTCTATTCTTAGTTAACCCCAGTTTCCTTCTCCTAGTTGAAATTAAAAAATGGTGATAGGGTAGAATGAAGAAATGGCTCCAACATGGGTGGTGCTTGGGGACATGACAGCAGTAGAATTACCCCCAGGAAGAGTGACATCATTGCATCACCAGGGGACCTTCAGGAACCTCCAAGGTAAAGGCGGTACTAAGGCACACTGTCTTGTGAACACATGATACACTGGAGACCATGCACACATTCCCATCCAAGAAACATTCAGGATGCTGGGATCCAGTAATTTTGTTGCTCAGGGCTAGAGCCAGAGACTGTTGTTTTGTTATTGTTACTGTGACACATTCCCTGATTT